TTTTGTACCCTGCAACTCGGCTGAATTCTTGGATCAGTTCTAGTAGGCTTCTGGTGGAGTCTGTCGGGTTTTCTATGTAGAGTATCATGTCATCTGCGAAGAGTGAAAGTTTGACTTCTTCTTTGCCAATTCTGATGCCTTTGATTTCCTTTTGTTGTCTGATGGCTGATGCTAGGACTTCCAGCACTATGTTAAACAACAGTGGTGAGAGTAGACATCCCTGTCGTGTTCCTGATCTCAGGGGGAAAGCTCTCAGTTTTTCCCCATTGAGGATAATGTTAGCTGAAGGCTTCTCATAGATGGCTTTTATGATGTTTAAGTAGGTTCCTTCTATCCTGACTTTCTCTAGAGTCTTTATTAAGAAGGATGCTGTATTTTGTCAGATGCTTTTTCTGCATCTATTGACAGGATCATATGGTTTTTATCTTTTCTTTTATTGATGTGATGTATAACATTGATTGATTTGTGAATGTTGAACCAGCCCTGTAGCCCAGGAATGAATCCCACTTGATCTTGGTGGATGATTCTTTTTATGTGCTGCTGGATTCAATTTGCAAGTATCTTGTTGAGGATTTTTGCATCTGTATTCATCAAGGATGTTGGCCTGTAGTTCTCTTTTTTTGCTGGATCTCTGTCTGGCTTGGGAATCAGAGCCTCACTCCCTCTCTTTAACAGCAGAAGACTGAACCACACTCTGCTCTCAAAAGTTTTTGATTTGGAGAAGAGGATATAAAAGAGCGCAGTCAACACTTAAAAAGAGGAACCAAAGAAATTAGAGGTGCTTTGCCTGGCCCAGCAATCCCCAGTCCTGACCCAGGATGAAAGCTGTATGAGCTTTAGGACAGATCTTGGTCTTAGCATCTGAGAATGGGCCCCCGCCGTCAGGCCCCAGGAGAGTTTCCAGACGCTATCCTCCTCCCTACCAGCCCCCACTGCCATCCAGGGCTGGAACTCTTCCCAGCATGGGGAGGGGGGCAATGTAGAAGTGAACCAAGTCACCCACTCAGCTCACCAGCTGAAAACCAGGAGCAAAACGAGACCCTTTAAGATACAGAGCAGGCAATGTCTCCTAGGCTAAATATTAGGAACTTGGGAGGGCCTGGATTAAAAATCATGGCCCATCACTTCTGGCTGTACATGACCTGGGCAAGCACTTTTGTCTGCAGGAAAGAGACTATCTTGGGCTCACCTAATTAGAAGTTGATTTATTTATTTGTTTGTTTGTTTGTTTTTGAGAGAGAGACAGACAGACAGAATGTGAGTGGGGGAGGGGTGGAGAGCGAGTGAACCACAGAAGCAGGCTGGAGGCTCCAAGCTGAAAGCACAGAGCCCAACACTGGGCTCGAACTCATGAACTGCAAGATCATGACTTGAGCTGAAGTCCGGTGCTTAGTCGACTAAGCCACCCAAGTGAAAGGCCTGTCCCAGGCTGACCGTCCGTAGATACATTCTGAGCTGAAACATCGCGAGCTTGCAAACGAGCCAGGGTGCTGACCAAGTAGCAAACACAAGGTCAAGACAGACTACGTGCACACACAAGACTGTTTCCAAACAGAAGGTCACTTGCAAATGCAGAGCGGGAACTTGGCAACAGGCCCCTGGGAACAGAAAACGGGAGGACGGGAGGAAAGACAATTTGAGACAATAAATAAAGAGCCCAGTGAGACTGGGCAGAGAATTCTGCATCAAACTCTGTGACTGTCTGTGTCTTTCTTGCTTATCATTCCTTGGTCCGAGGGTTAAAGAAAGCAACAGGCTTACAGAAAGCAACAACTGGCGCCCAACATGGGGCACAAAGCATTTTCCTTCCTCGTCAAGGAACCAGAGGGGTACATCTGCTCACGGTAAGCGAGACCTCTGGGAATTAGCTATTATGGGGAACTCCCTGTCTTGTGAAACAGAATATCGCCATTTGCTTCAGGGTCTTTTACTTTCTACCGGAGTTAGAATCAAGGAGCGCCTTCTCACTGAATTGTTTTCGCGTGTTCGCAAATATTGCTACTGGTTTCAATTTCAGAGGGAGTTACCATTAGATGCCCAAGCTTGGAAAAAGGTGGTAGCTGAACTCCGTAGGGCCCACCAACATGGTGAGACCCTCAGTATGCAATTATGGTCCCTATGTGGGGCCATTAGTCAAGCACTACGGCTGTTTGAGTCTGATGCGGAGAAAGATGATGAACTTTTACTGCCGCCTCCTCCCGAATGTGAACTGCCTCCCCTTCCTGCTGCTCCAGAGCCTCCGGCTCCTGCTCTGGCTCTTCCCCTATCTACTGTTAACCCTTCTTTTCATTCTGATACAAATAGTTCCTTTTCTAGCACTGATCCATCTAGTCTTACCACTGGATGTGAAACCCAGGTTTAACAGCTACAAACTCAAATGCAGCATTTAACTTCATTAGTGGAGACATTATCCAAAAGACTTAATACGCTAAATTCGTCTTCTGAAGTTATTCCTCCTCCCACGACCCCACCGCGGACCCAGCCTAACCCTCAGGTATACCCTATTGCGGCTTCCCCAGGGAGGGGACCCCCCCCCTCAAAAAACTTTTACTCTGCCAGCTCCATATGATGATGAAGGGGATGATATCCCCCTTCTGCCTGATTTTGATGACTGCCCACAACCTTTACAAAGTTTTCATGCTTATTCCCTAACACGGGAAAGATTTCCTCCCAATGCCAAATATCCACAAGGCGGTCTTAATGTTACTTATACCCATTTGCCTTTCAAAATTCTAAAAGAGCTTAAACAAGCCATCTAAAACTATGGCCCGCAATCACCTTTTGTCATTAGGTTGAAAGGGGCCATTGCAGGGAAGAATAATCTTATTCCTACTGACTGGGAACACTTATGCAAGACAGTATTGGAGGGACCTCAATATTTACAGTTTAAAGGATGGTGGTTAGAGGCGGCTCGTGATCAATCCAGGAGGAATGCCACTCAGAATCCCCCTGGTCCCACTGAGGAAGAACTTACAGGTTCAGGAGGGTATGCTACTCTCCAAGGCCAAGCTGGGTTGTCTGATTTGGCATTAACCCAATTAAAGGTCATTGTGGTGAAGGCCTGGATGAAGATAAAAGTCTTGGGAAAAACTGCTCCTTCATTTGCCAAAACTATTCAGGGCCCTACTGAACCTTATACTGATTTTGTTTCTCAACTCAAGGTTGCAGTTTTGTGAGGTGCAGGGGATTCTGCTGCCGCTACTACTCTTTCACAGGTTCTTACTTTTGAAAATGCTAATCCTGTTTGTCAAAAGGTTCTCAGACCAATTAAGGCTCAAGGTGGGGATTTAGATGAATACATTCATGCTTGTGCAGGTATTGGAGGACATGTTTTCCAAGCAGAATTGTTAGCCGTGGCAATTCATGAAGGTTTTACAGGAAGTCAACAAAAATGTTATAAGTGCAGCAAACCTGGACATTTGCAGAAAGATTATAGAAAAGGAAAGTCAACAGGACTAGGGAATACTGTAAAGGACATAATGTTCCCAAAACCTCCCAACCATTAGGTCTCTTGTAAGCGCTGTGGTAAAGGCAGACATTGGACTAATGAGTGCAGATCTATTAGAGATAAAAATGGCAATCCAATCCCTGCTTCAGAAAACCAAGCTGTTAATCTTAATGCAGGAGAAAGGATAGCTCAACTTTTGCTCCTCCCATGCCTTTTCTTTCGTTCTCAAAACATGAAAAGGAAGGGAGGTTTTGGTAGTACGGGAAAGCAAGTTTTTTGGGAAACATGAATTGGGGACCAATGTCCTTCTTTGACACTAATGATTAATAACCAATCCTTTGCAGGACTCATAGACAAGGGGCTGACATTTCCATCATAGCCAGGTCTCAGTGGCCTTCTGATTGGGCCCAACATAAAGTCTCTGTTAATTTGTCTGCCTTGGGCAAAGCCCAAGAAGTTTATCAAAGTTCATACCCGCTTATATGTGTTGGTCCCAAAGGATAACAAGCCACAGTACAAGTTTATATTGTTGATATTGCCATGAATCTTTGGGGACATGATCTTTTAAAACAATATGGAGCTTTCCTTCATATTCCCGCCTTGTCGTCTCAAGCAAAAAATATAATGATGCAAATGGGTTATAACCCTTTGCCTTCAGCTTCATCTTCCAAGCCTTTTTTTAAACTTACGGCCACTGCTTCTCATGCTATGCCACCACAAGCACTTCCTCTCCAGTGGAAGACTACAGAGCCTGTATGGGTGGCGCAGTGGCCATTAACACAGGAGAAATTACAGGTTCTCAAGGACTTAGTACAAGAACAACTTTTAGCAGGTCATATTGAACCATCTGTCTCCCCTGGGAATTCCCTTGTTTTTGTCATTAAAAAGTGGTAAATGGAGACTATTGATAGATCTTAGAGAAGTGAACAAACAACTTGAACTTTTGGGATCCCTCCAACCAGGGCTCCCTAACCCTTCCCTGATACCACAACATTGGAATATAACAATCATTGATTTAAAAGATTGCTTTTTTACGATCCCCTTGCAAGACAAAGACAAGGTTCTTTTTGTCTTCACAATCCCAGAGTATAATTACGGAAAGCCAACACAGAGGTATCAATGGAAAGTCCTTCCACAGGGCATGTTAAATAGTCCTACCTTATGTCAGGAATTTGTTGATAGAGCCCTACAGCCTGTGAGAACACAATACCCTTCAATGTTGATCTACCATTATATGGATGATATACTTCTGGGTACTGAGACTCAATTAGAATTAAATAATAGTTTTGGAACTCTTCTTCAAAGTCTAAAAGCTTATGGACTACAATTGGCTCCCGAAAAGGTACAAATTTTATCTCCTTTCCAATATTTGGGTTACACCTTGTCAGAAACAACTATAAGGCCTCAAAAAATTGCCATTTGTACTGACAAACTTAAAACCCTAAATGATTTTCAAAAATTATTAGAAGACATTAACTGATTATGACCCATCTTGCGTATCCCTACATCTGCCCTGACACATCTGTTTCACCTTCTAGAAGGCAATCCTGCCTTGGAGAGCCCTCGGATCTTATCTCCTGAGGCAGCTAATGAACTCTCCTTTGTAGCTCAAAGAATTGAGGAATCCTTTTTAAATTGCATTAAACCCGGAACATTGCTGCAAATACTCCTCATTTTTGACACTCCTCATTCTCCTTCAGCTGTCATAGTATAACAAACTTGTCTGGTGGAATGGCTTTTTCTATCCAATAAACAAACTAAACACCTTATTTCCTATCGTAACAAGGTGGCCTCCCTATTGATAAAAGGGCGTTTGAGAGTTTGACAACTTATAGGATGGGACCCTACCTAGTTCATAGTGCCTTACACCAAACAGGAAATATCATCACTCTTACAATTTAATGACTTATGGCAGATAGCTTGTTCTGATTTTCTGGGAGACATTGATAATCATTACCCTTCTCACAGACTATTTGATTTTCTTAAGCGCACTCCTGTGATCCGTCAGAGGGTCGTTCAAGACTCTCCCGTCCAAGGCCCTACCATATTCACTGATGCTTCTGGTAATGGAAAGGCAGGTTATTGGTCTGAATCTGACCACAAGATCGAAACCCATTCTTTTCCGTCTGTACAACAAGGTGAATTGTTTGCAATTCTTTTAGTATTACAAAATTTCTTGGACACTCCCAGTATGCTGTCGCTGCTGTCTGTCGCCTAGAAGTATATGTTTCCCCTTTATCTGCTTCCTCCTTGGATTCTTTGTTCCTCCAAATACAATCTGCCCTCCAGAACAGACATTACCCTATATTCATCACACACATCAGATCCCATTCCAAACTTCCTGGCCCTTTGACTAAAGGTAACGCTACCATTGATTCCCTTTTGATAGCCACGATATTGGATGCCCAGTTCGAACATCCATTGCATCACATAAATGCTAAAGGTCTTCAAACACGGTATTCTCTTTCCAAGGAACAAACCCACCACATTGTTTTAGAATGTGACACTTGTCAACAATTTGCTTCTGTCCCATTTCAAAAAGGGGTTAATCCCCATGGGACACAACCTAATGAACTTTGGCAAATGGATGTAAGCATTGTCCCTTCCTTTGGAAAGCTACAACATGTGCATCATTGTACTAATACCTTTTCCCATTTTCAGTGGCCTACGCCCCTGGCATCTGAAAAGGCGGATGCCGTCAATCATCATCTTCTGGCCTGTTTCGCTGTCATGGGAGTCCCATCTTCTATCAAAATTGATAATGCTCCTGCGTATGCTTCCAAAAAGCTCATGCCCTTTTTTGAGATTTATCACATTAAACACATTACTGGCATCCCTTTTAATAGTCAAGGTCAGGCTATTGTGGAACGTGCCAACCGTACTCTGAAACTTCAATTACAAAAACCAAAGGGAGGAGATTATGGGACTTCACCAAGAGAACAACTTTATAAATTATTATACACCTTTAATTTTTAAAATTTGTGGTCTACTCAAGATGTTTCCGTGGCAGAGAAACATTTTTTTTGGTCTCCTCCCCCTGTAGAGATACCACAACCTATATTCACTAAAGAGTTGAACGGTACATGGATACCTGCTCATGTCCTGCAATGGGGCCGAGGATATGCTTATGTCTCCACAGATACTGAAAAGTGTTGGGTGCCATCCCGCTGGATAAAGCCAAGGCATGGCAAAGAGACAACGCTTCAATGAGATGGTGAAGGAGTTCCATCAGTTGGATCACCAGAGCCGGAGCTTCACAACCGGGACACAGATGACAACACCACCCACCTTAGGACAGCTGAAAAAGATGACACAAGAAGCTGAACGGATTGTCCAACATTCAGGCCAGAAACTTACCCCTTCCACTTTATTTTTGGCAATGCTGGCCGTGATATCTTGCCAGGTAACGACCGCCAATTACACTTATTGGGCCTATGTCCCTAATCCCCCTCTTCTCCAAGCCATATCCTGGGGTGAAGCTGAGGTCATTGTGTATACTAATGAAACTCAATGGATGCCTGGGCCTTATGATTCTTCCCTGCCACAACACCTGGGAGAGGAAAGCAAAAATCTGACCACAGGGGGCTCAGGATTACCTGTTTGTATAGGAATGCCCCCCTGCCTCCAGCCTTCCTATGAGGCCTTGGGTCTCACTTATAATCATTCTCATTTTGCAACAACCACATTTCTTTTGGCTGTTAAAGGGTTTAAGATCCTTTCCCACAATATAACTGTCAGTGAAACCCCACCTACACTTCTATCTCTTTGTCCAATGCCCAATATTGATCCTGACCTGTCTCACCTTTCATGGACTCATTGCAGAGGCAAAACTCCTAAATTGTTGGTCAACAGTACTACAAAGATCATATTGGAGCCCCCATTGGGACTTCCAAACAAAATTCTCATATTCTCCTTAGACAGCATTATCATAACCGCACCCTTGACAGCTCTGCAAATGAACCAGTGATTTGGCATGAAGCTGGCCTAATCCCCCCTATTCTGCATCCTATGGGATCAACCCAGATGCAAGGACATATTTGGAAACTTATGGCCTCTTTGGAACCAATTCGTACTTGGGTTGGCAGTATGTCTTTGAATATGTCTAACAATGGATTTATCCATGTTAAATTTAACCCTAACAACTCTCGATGTGTTCAAGCATGTGTTCATTATCCTCATCTTATGTTAGTGGGAAGGATCACCTGGGCCCCAGAAAATGGTTTGGTCAATTGTACAGAAGATTGTAAGTTTTACACTTGTCTAAACTCTTCTTTTAATATAAATTTCTCAACCTATCGCTTGTATCTTCTTCGCAATCATGCAGATTTGTGGACTCCAGTAAATTTGACTAGACCTTGGAGTGAGTCACGCAGGATATAACTGTATATATCATTCCTTAAAGATATGACTCAACGAGTCAAAAGGGTTGTGTGGGCTATCATAGCAGCTATCTTGGGGATCATAGCCACTGCCACCACTGCGGCTGTAGCCAGGCTGGCACTACAAGGAGCTCAAACTGCTGCCTTCGTTCATGAACGACATACTAGTTCCCACCTTCTGTGGCAACAACAACATGAAATAGATTCTAGATTAGAAGGTGAGATCTTAGATCTAAGACAAACAGTATCATGGCTGGGAGATCAAATTAAAATTCTCTCTACCAAGGCCATCCTTCGCTGTGATTGGAATTCTACTCAGATGTGTGTGACATCAATAGAGTACAATGAAACAGCAGTTACCTGGGATCAAATTAAGCGTAACCTTTGGAATCACAAAAATACATCAGTCGATATACAGCACTTAAGTGCTCAAATCACTGAAACATTCTCAAAGAATTTACCCTTATTATCAGGTGAATCTTTCTTTAGAGAAATAGCAGAAAATATACAAAATTTTAACCCCATTGGTACCCTCCATGGAGCTTTAACTGCATCAATTATTAACCTTGTAGGACTAATGTTCTGTTTGTTTTTGGTTTATGCAGTCTTCTGCTGCTGGAGACAGAAACTCCAAGCAATGAAAAAGCAACAAAGTGTTTATGCACTCTTTCATCTTAAAGAAATAAAAAGGGGGAAATGAAGGGCCTGTCCCAGGCTGACAATGAAGAGCCTGTCCCAGGCTGACCATCCCTAATCGCAAGATACATTCTGAGCCGAACATCCTAAGCTTGCAAACTAGCCAGGGTGCTGACCAAGTAGCAAACACAAGGTCAAGACAGACTACGTGCACACACAAGACTGTTTCCAAACAGAAGGTCACTTGCGAATGCGGCGCAAACTTGGCAACAGGCCCCTGGGAACAGAAAACGGGAGGACGGGAGGAAAGACAATTTGAGACAATAAATAAAGAGCCCAGTGAGACTGGGCAGAGAATTCTGCACCAAACTCTGTGTCTGTCTGTGTCTTTCTTGCTTATCATTCCTTGGTCCGAGGGTTAAAGAAAGCAACAGGCTTAGAGAAAGCAACACCCAAGTGCCCCAAAGCCCACTTATTTATGATATAAGTAGGTCAGTTAAGGGAAAGGTGATCTTCCAACAAGAAGTTAAGCACTAATAAAACAAGACTTTTGAGGATTTACCTTACGTGGATTATCTCACTTAACTATAACCACCTTGGGAGGTAGTAGGTACTATTATTAGCCACATTTTATAGAGGGGGAAACTGAACCATCTGGAGGTGACATAACTCACATAAGCCACAGAGCCAGCGGGTAGCTGAGTATGGATATGGACCCAAGCCATCCAGCTCCAGAAAACACGACCTTAACCTCTCTGACATGCTTCCTCTCACCCAGAGCTGGGTGCTAGCGACCTTGTGGGAGTGGAGAAGAGGTCTGGCTCCTCTGAGCTGTAGGGTCTTCTGTGACTGCAGTTTCTGCATCCTGGCTCAGGTGACACCCATTAATACATGACTTTGTCACCCTCTCAAGTCAGAGTCTGCCTCCTACCACAACTGGCTGAAGCATTCCTCTCCTAAAGGGTGAATCTGAGTGGGCAGTGAGGCGCTCTGGTCCTCATGATGGCTTCAATGGTGCAGGGCCTCTGCCTTCCATCCTATCAAATTACATGGGGAGCAGGCTGTTCCCTTTTCTTTCAGTTCCCCCAACCTCAAGGGGAATGTCTTTGCTAGGGCACTAGATTGACCACGTGTATAATTCTTTTTTATATATATATATTTTTATTTATTTCTAGGAGAGAGAGAGAGAGAGAGAGAGAGAGACAGCGTGAGCAGGGAAGGGTCAGAGAGAGAGAGAAACAAAAACTGAAACAGGCTCCAGGCTCTGAGCTGGCAGTCAGCACAGAGCCCGACGCGGGGCTCAAACCCACGAACCGCTAGACCATGACCTAAGCGAAAGTCAGACCCTTAACCGACCAAGCCACTCAGGTGCCCCTTGACCACATGTATAATTCTTGTTACCTCCTCCCCCTTTGGAGAACAGTAAGCCCTGCTCCCTGACCTCCTAACCCATCACTGTCTGCTTCAGTTCCCCACTGAATGGCCAGTGTGAGCTCTTTCAAGCTCAAATTTGGTTAGCTTATAACTTTGAAAACCTCCATCTGCAGTGCGGGGTCAAGTCGAAACTCCCCGCTATGGCCAACAGGCTTCGGAGTCCCACCTGCCTCTGTGACTTCATCTCCCCACCACTTCTCCCTCCTCCCTGCCTTCTGTCTACCCCTCACCCAAAGCCTCTCTGGAAATGGGATCAGTCTCCCTGTCCTCATGGCTGGCCCCTTTTCATCATTCAGGTCTTGACTCAAATGTCACCTTCTGAGAAGAGTTCCCTGAACGCTGGCCCCAGCAGCCCTGCCCTACTTGCTCTCTACCCAGTCACCGAGCTGCTTAACACCCGTCTGCCTCAGCTATAGCACCTCGCTTTTGACTTTCGCTACCACACTACTGGGCTGTAAGCTTCTGGAAGGCAGGGCTTGGTCAGTCTGGATCACTTTGGTATCTCCTGTGCCTGGCACAGGACCTAACCAGCAGTAGGCATTAAACACACATCTGTTAATTGATCGATGACAGAGTGACACTCAGGGTTCCTAATGAGAGCCTCCTCTTTTGGAAATTGCTGGACACCTTCCTGCTCCCGAGCTTCTCTGTATTAGGTAGGGACTTACTGGATGATTTTACTGTGGGCACTTACTGGATGATTTTAGAGGGTACATAGATTCTACCTTAAATAACATAGAATTATGGAGAGAGAAAGTGGATCTTCCCTCTTCTGTTCTTTTTTGGACTTTGCTGATTGTATAAAAGAAAAATGCTGTTAGTGTTACTCTGTATCATTTCTCTAACACTTGCTAATCAGATTCTTACAAAGTCCTCAGTCTCAGTTTTCTGCACATACTAGTACTCAGTGAGATTATAACATTATACTGTTTTCACGGTGTATGTATTTTATACTTTGTTAAAGTGGGAAGTGATTTAAGGTAATGCTATGATGTTCCTCTTTTAAGTTTATTTATTTTGAAAGAGAGAGATGGGCCACCTGGGTGGCGCAGTTGGTTGAACATCTGACTTCAGCTCAGGTCAAGATCTCGCGGTTTGTGGGTTTGAGCCCCACGTCAGGCTCTGTGCTGACAGCTCAGGGCCTGGAGCCTGCTTCAGATGCTCTCTCTCTCTCTCTCTCTCCCTCTCCGCTCACACTGTCTCTCAAAAATTAAGAAGTATTCAAAAATTTTAAAAAAAGAGTTTGTGTGTGTGTACATGCACGCACAGGGAAAAGATAGAGAGAGGGAGCAAGAATCCCAAGCAGGCTCCACACTGCCAGAGCAGAGCCCAAGGCAAGGCCTGAACTTAGGAACCTGAGCTGACATCAACAGTCGGACACTCATCCAATTGAGCCACCCAGGCGCCCGTTTACCCATTTTTAGATAGTAAACTGATTTAAAGACATTAAGCACAAGTGTATGTGTTATGTGGCCAGTGTTGTGAAGGTGAGGTGCTAAGGGCTATAGCTGGGGAACTACTCACTGTTCTAGGCAGAGCAGGCCCTTATGGAACACAGGCTGGCTCCAAACGAACCCCTGGGCCAAGTACCATTTAGTTTGTTCTTTTCAGTGATACGACAAGTTATTCAGCTGAGTATGAATGAGAGACTGGAGCCATTTTTTCCCCTGGACCTCAGCTCATTTTGCTTTAATGTGTAGCACCTTTGTTCTGTACAGTTCTGACCACTTAATGTGACCTCCATAGTCATGGGTAGAGAATGGTGGTTCTGGGACACAAAATCCTGACTGATGTCAAAGTTCCCTAGTGAAGTCAGACCCTGGGCTTTTCGGGCTTTTCTTTGTCTCATAAATCAGGCAAACATGAGCTATTATTTGAAGATACACCAAATAAATAACCTAGTGTACAGCTTTGCTCAGTTGGATTACCGAAAGACAGAATTCACTGCAGCGCCTGGCTGGCTCAGTTGGTTAAGCGCCAGACTTTGGCTCAGGTCAAGATCTTCAGGTTCATGGGTCCTAGCCCCACATCGGGCTCTGTGCTGACAACTCAGAGTCCGGAGCCTGCCTCAGATTTTCTGTCTCCCTCTCTCTTTCTGCCGACCCCCCCACCTTCCACTGTGCTCTCTCTCTCTCTTTAAAAAAAAAAACATAACTCACCTACATAAATTCTGAGGTCCCCCAAATTGGGTTTTCCAGAGCCCCAAGCACCCATTACCCTCTGTATCAGTCTGCTCTGTTCTTTTTGGTCCAAATGGATGGTGTCATGTACTTGAAATATGTAGCACATACACATCTTGGCATTCCTTGGACTCAAAATGTGTATTTTCTGTAGTGTAGTAATATCCACCTTCTCTGTAAGTCTACAGCAAACATTCAGCAAATTCAAATGTCTGGCTTGAAAGCTGTGTGATTTTAGTCAAGTACTTAACCTCTCAGAGCTTCAGTCTACTTCCTTGTGTTACTTAGAGATTAAAGGAGATGATGCTTGTGAAGCTGTGCCTGGCTCAATGTAAACATTCCGTAAATGGCTATCACATTTTTAATTTGCATCCCATCAGACCTCTCTCCAAGAGGCTGCACTCTAATTTGATTATCTCCTAAATCTCTGCTGTTTCCCTCTCCCAGCAAGGAATTCGCCAAGGTCTACTGAATGCTATATTTTGTGACGGACACTGCCTTCTTAAGCAGCAATCAAGCCAGATCCCTGCCATTGCCAAACCCACAGCCAAGTAGCAAAGAGATTCCCCAACTGAACAAAAGGGCTGCAATCGAGGTATGTCGCCGGTGCAGTAAGAGCGAACGGGGCGGTAATATCTAATTGAGACTTGCGTGTGTGAGGATTTGGGGGCCGAGGGTGTCATTCAGGCAACCGGCACTGCCCGTCCAAAGCACAAGCATTGGAGAGAGAGCGGACTGCCGGTACCCTTAAAGAGGGGGCAGATCCGGGGGAAGCTTCAGGACCCAGGGCCTGGGGGGCTTTGAATGCCCGGCCTCGAGATCCGGGTTCTTCCCATTGGCGAAAGGAGCCCGGACGGAGGAGCTTGTGCTGAGGCCTCGGCCCGGCCAAGTCACCAGGCAGAAATGGTCCGGATCAGTGCTACACAAAAGGACCCCTGCCCGGGCCAACGGAAAAAGCGCCAGACACTGAAGGCGGAAATAACGGCCAGCGAGCGACCCGACCGCGGCAGCACTCCCGGAATTCACGATGGTGGGCGGAGCCGGAAACTCCGGGCGCGCGGCTGGTGGGCCCAGCTGCGCGGCGGCGGCCAAGGGGGTAGGCCCGGCCTTCCCTGAGCAGCTGATTGGTCGGCCCCCTAAAGCGGCGGTCGCGGCTCCTGGAACTGTCACCTCCGCCTGGTGAGTCCTGAGTTCGAGCCTGGGCCCCGCGGGCTCCCGAATTGCCCTTTGGTGCCCGGCTGTTCCCCCTCTGGCCGGCTGGCACTCCTGGATTCCCGAAGCGTCCCCTGGAGAGGTAGAGCCAGGCCCAGGCTCCTCTTGGGCGCGCTGTCCCTCTTCTGTTACAGGCTGTCGGGCCAGGACCCCTCAGGGACTTTTTGTGGGGGAGGGGCGAATCGTGCAAGGCCTACAGGGCCGCGTTCCTAGAGAAAGGCAATGGCGGGCTGTGGCGGGGAGGACGACAGAGTGGAGCCGGTAGTGTCTCCGGGGCTAAAGCCGAGTGGAAACAACAGTGGAGGCCTAGATCCCCGCCGGGGTGTCGTTGGGGGTTGGGGGGGGAAGGGGGGAGGCAAGGGACGGCAGAGGCGGTAGGGGACGCGCGTGAGTCTGGCTGAGACCGCCCGGGCTCAGGTCAGAACCCCTGGAGGCAGCACCATCCAAGGAATGGGTTGAAAGAGCAAGAGCCGGCCGAGAGCGGCCATAAAGGCAGAGAGCCGCCCCAGTAGCCAAGGCGTGTGTAATGATTTTGTGATTTGGGGCAGAACGGGAGGCCACACCAAGATAAAAGCATGGCAAGGCCTAATGAGTGTATTTCAGATTTGGTCATTACTTTGGTAAGCCGAAGACATAATGAATTTTTTTGTAAAAGGTGATATAGAAGTGGTTAGACGTGTGCAAAAGTATAGTAAAACACGGAAAATAGCATACCATTATGGACCCCATGTAATCATCACCCAGCTCAGCCACAAATGGCCACCCCGGTTGCATTACAAATATGTTAAGAAACACATCAGGGCACCTGGGTGGCTCAGTCGGTTAAGCCTCCAACTTCAGCTCAGGTCATGATCTCCTGGTTTGTGAGTTGGAGCCCCACAATTGGGCTCTGCGCTGATAGTGTGCAGCCTGCCTTGGATCCTGTCTTCCTCTCTCTGCCCCTCCCCAGCTTGCTCTCTCTCGCTCTCAAAAATAAACAAACATGGGGCACCTGGGTGGCTCAGTTTGTTGAGTGTTCAACTCTGACCCAGGTCATGATCTCACGATTTGTGGGTTCGAGCCCGGTGGCAGGCTCTATGCTGACAGCTCAGAGCCTGGAGCCTGCTTCAGATTCTGTGTCTCTCTCTCTGCCCCTCCCCCGCTCATGCTCTGTCTCTGTCTCAAAAATAAATAAAACATTAAATCAAATTTGAAAAAAGAAATAAACTTTAATTTTTTTAATAATTAAAAAAAAAAGATTCACTCAAAATCATACCCGTAATATGTCAATCTTAAATTTAAAAAAAGTTCCTTTCATATTTAATGGGTATAGAGGTTCAGTTTTGCAAGATGAGAAGAGTTCTGGAAATTGGTTGCACAACAGTGTGAATGACTTAACACTACTGAACTGTAACTTAAAATGGTTAAGATGGTGAATTTTATGTCATGGGTTTTTAACCACAATTTTTTTTAAGTTCCTCTCAAATTAAAAATAAAATGCTGCGAATTAGGGGGGAAAAATCTGACTTCAAATGTGCAGTGGAAAGTAACTCATTGCCAAGAAGAGGCCCATAGAGTTGTTTTTAACCATGGAGGCTCTGGAATGAACCTGTTGGTTTTGGTGCTCAAAGCAGGGGTACCTGACCTGGGGTGAAGTTTAAGTACTGGGGATGCCTTCTGGTTGATACAACACCTGAAGCATTAGGCCAGCTCAGCTTTGTGAGCCTGATCTCTCCTAAATGTTCTTTTTATTTATAATCTGAGGCACACCTTTAACCCTGAGCTAAACTCCTATGCTACTTCATACCTTGGTTCACTGAAGGGTGAGTGAAGTGTGAATTCACCTCTTTCTACTCCCATTCTTTTTTTTTAAATTTTTAATGTTTTTAATTTATTTCTGAGTGAGAGAGACAGCATGAGCAGGGGAGGGCCAGAGAGAGAGGGAGACACAGAATCTGAAACAGGCTCCAGGTTCTGAGCTAACTGTCAGCACAGAGCCCAATGTGGGACTTGAACCCATGAACCATGAGATCATGACCTGAGCCAAAGTCGGACACTCAACCGACTGAGCCACCCAGGCACCCCTCTCTACTCCCATTCTTTAGGGCACACTTGGTTCTCTGTCTCGAGTCTACTCCGTCTCCCAGATGTACCACATGTCAGTCTTTCACACTCCTTGCTGTTCACTGGTAAGCAGCCTTCTACATCTAGCTCTTTTACAAGTGGGTCCTGCATGGGTAGCCCTGAAACCTTCCTTTTGTCCACTCCAAACAAACAAACCAAACAAACTATAAACTGAGAAAGCAGCGGCCAGGTTTGGGACTGGGGCACCTCTTGTCATGCTCTAAAGGCCCCGGGAACAGTGTTTCTCCTGGAGCTAAATTTTCTTAATGTAAGTTGGCATTTATTAGAGAGTTAAACAACGATTGGGTAAAATTTGCATCAGAAAATTATATTAGAGGGACGCCTGGGTGACTCAGTCAATTAAGTGTCCGACTTTGGCTCAGGTCATGATCTCATTGCTCATGGGTTCAAGCCCCGCATTGGGCTCTGTGCTGATAGCTCAGAGCCTGGAGCCTGCCCCAGATTCTATGTCTCCCTCTCTCTGCTCCTTTTCCACTCTCTCTCTAAGAGTAAATAAACATTTAAAAAATTAAGAAAGAAAGTTATATTAGAGGGGTGCCTGGCTGCCTCAGTTGGTGGAGCACACCATTTTTGCTCTTGGGTGGTGAGTTTGAGCCCCACATTGGGTGTGGAGCTTCTTTAAAAAATAAAATAGGGGCACTTATTTATTTATTTATTTATTTATTTATTTATTTATTTATTGGAGGGTGGCTCAGTCAGTTAAGTGTTCAACTCTTGATTTCGGCTCAGGTCATGATCTCAGGGCTGTGGGATCGAGCCCCATGTCAGGCTTTGAACTGAGTGTGGAGTCTGCATGATATTCTCTCTCTCTCTACCACTGCCCTCTCCCCTGCTTACGCTGCTCTCTTCTCTCTCTCTCTCTTTCTCAAATGAAACAAAATGTGTACATTTAAAAAAAGTTATGTTAATAGTAAAAGTTGTTGAGTAATGGCTATTTAGAACTATTCAGGAAAAAATAAGATACTTGATCACATCACTGGACGTCAGTGATGGTAAAAAGAAATTAGTGACAGGGCTGCTAGTAATGAATGACAAAGCAAAAGTTAGCAGAGCGAACTTGCTTTGTCTTGATATATGTTTATATCTATACACTGGGAGCTCTCAATATGATCATTATTGAAATATCTGTGGGAAATAATGTGATTGCTCATATATAACTCATTTACCCTTTAACTTCCTTTTTCCCCATGGAAACAGTTATGATTTTGGATCAAGTGAGTTTTTTTTTTTTATTTTTTTAGGAATGTTACATCATAACTGCCTGTACACAGGAGGTGATATGAAATGAATGAACCATTTTCTTATGTTTTCCTTTGTAGGGAAGATGGAAGAGCTGAGTCAAGCCCTGGCTAGTAGCTTTTCTGTGTCTCAAGATCTGAACAGCACAGCTGCCCCACACCCCCGCCTGTCCCAGTACAAGTCCAAGTACAGTTCCCTGGAGCAGAGTGAGCGGCGCCGCCGATTATTGGAACTGCAGAAATCGTAAGGGATGCTTTAACTCTTTGCATTATTTCTCCAGGCTGGGAGACTCCAATCAGGAGGCTCTAGGCTTGTCTTTTCAAAGTAGACCCTTAGTAAGTACTTCTACCCTTAGTAGGTTGGGCAGGGTAAATCCTGGCAGAGGTAGACTTCCTTTACACCCAGAGCTTAGGAAAAGATGGAGATGTAGGAAAAGACTGAAGTTTGAAAGCAAAAGCCCACTTAATTGGTTAAATTTTCCTTTTTTTCCTGGCAGCAGCACTGAACTTTGCGATTTAGGGACTTGTGAAGGCCACGCCCAGACTTCCACTCCCCACATTCCCTGTGTGGCTTCTGCACTCTGAATCCTGGCATTGGTGTGGTCTTCCTGTCTGCCTTCAGCCCAAATGTTTCCGTGGAGCCCTTGAGAATTCAATACAAATAATTCCACAGGGGATCTGAGGAAATGTCTTCCATACACTTAATTCTCAATGCCAAGATGAGCAAGCAGGGGAAGAGAGCAGGATAGGAGTGTCTGAGGCTGGGCTGCTCTGAAGTTGGGGCCTATCCTTGTATTCTGAGTACAACACGGGCCTCTTCTGGGTGATAAGGAATTGAGGATTAGAAGAACTAATTGTTTTTAATGTTTATTTATTTTTTTTTTGGAGGGGGATTTGAGAGGGTCAGAAAGAGGAGGACAGAGGATCCAAAGTGGGCTCTGCACTGACAGCAGAGAGAGCCCAACGCAGGGCCCAAACTCACGAACCTCTAGATCATGACCCGAACTGAAGCGGACATTTGACTGACTGAGCCTCCCAGGTGCCCCTAGAAAGAGCTATAACCACTGCAGAGTTCTCTGCAGTCTTCATTTTGCCCAGTACTGCATCATTGGATGTATTTAGCAGAAATGGTTCCCTGTGGCCTCTGGGTTGCTTACAGATTACATTTTCAGATCATCTCCCTCCTCCGCACCCACATCTCTGTTTTTCAAAAAGTAGAATTCATTATTTTGGAATAGGTAACGTATTAATAGTATGTGTTCCTATTCAAAATTCAAAATATGTAAGAGTATATGGTAAAAAGTCTCCATCCTGGTATTCTGCTAAGTGAAAGAAGTCAGACTGAGAAAGAAATACCATATGATTTCACTCCTATATGGAATCTGAAAACCAAAGCAAATGAATAAACAAACAAACAAAAAGCAGAGGGGCACCTGGGTGGCTTAGTCGGTTAAGCGTCTGACTTTCGCTTAGGTCATGATCTCGTGGTTCGTGGGTTCGAGCCCCGCGTCAGGCTCTGTGCTGACTGCCGGCTCGGAGCCTGGAGCCTGTTTCAGTCTGTGACTCCCTCTCTCTCTGACCCTCCCCTGCTCATGCTGTCTCTCTCTCTCTCTCCTAGAAATAAAAAAAAAAAAAAGCAGAACCGGACCTGTGAATACAGAGAACAAATTGGTGGTTGCCAGAGGGGTAGGGTGTGGGAGATAGGCAAAATGGGCCAAGGGGAGTAGGAGATATAGGCTTCCAGTTATGGAATGAATAAGTCATGGGAATAAAAGGTATAGCATAGGGAATACACTCAATATTATTACAGTATCATACGGTAACAAATGGTAGCTACATTTGTGGTAGCTACCATAGAGTAATGTAGAGAGAATTGAATCACTGTATTGTACACCTGAAACTAATGTAACATGATACTTTAAAAAAAATTTAAAAAAAAAGTTTCCCTCCCAATTCCATCCTCTAGCCATTCAGTTCCTCTCCCATATTATAGTTTCCTGTGTATCTTTCCAAAGATACTCTGTGCACATATGAGCAAGTGTGTGGTTGTATGTGGACATACCATGTTTTTAACAGGAGTAGTATACAGAGCACTGTTCTGCACATTTGTTCTTTTATTTTTATTTTTCTATAAAGCTTATTTATTTATTTATTTGAGAGAGAGAAAGAGAGCACAAGTACGGGAGGGGGACAGAGAGAATCTCAAGCAGGCTCTGCACTGTCAGTGCAGAGCTCAGTGCGGGGCTCAAACCCATGAACCACGAGATCATGACCTGAGCCGGAGTTGAATGCTTAACCAACTGAGCCATCGGGGTGCCCCCTTCCTTCTTCCTGAATTAAAATCCCATTTTGATTGCATGTGCCCTCTCTGGTGTGTGCCCTCGCTTGAATGTGCATGAACTTGTGTGTCTGAGAGTATCTGAGAAGTAACCAGCTGAGCGGGTCTCACACTCTCCTGGATCTCTGGCCTCAGCATTGAGGAAACCAACTGCAGGGGGTTATGGGGTATCTACAGATCACTTTGGAACAATCAGGTTCCAAACAGTTCTTATTCTTTTTTAACATTTTTATTTATTTTTGAGAGACAGAGACAGACAGAGCATGAGCGGGGGAGGGGCAGAGAGAGAGGGAGACACAGAATCCAAAGCAGGTTCTAGGCTCTGAGCTGTCAGCACAAAGCCCGACGCGGGCATCAACTGTGAGATCATGACCTGAGCCGAAGCCAGATGCTCAACTGACTGAGCCATCCAGGAGTCCCGTAACAGTTCTTATTCTTGCTTAACCAATTGCCCAAGCTTTCTAGAATATATAGTTTGTTTTTTTTTTTTAAAGAGAAGGTTAACAATAAAGCAAAAACAAGAAATAGATTAAATCGTAAACTGAGAGGCCTGTTTTGAAAGTTAGATAAGAACTAGAAGGCCTGGCTGCCCCTCAGAAAGCTATGTAAGTTGGAAAGGCCCAAAAGTGGTCCTTGTTTTAAACTCCTCACCCGCGTCCCAGTGATTCTTCTCTTCAATCACCTGAGGCCTTTGGACTAGATGCCTGCCAGGCAGGAGAGTATCTGCTGTCACCTGGGTAGAGATGTGGGAATCTGAAATGGGGTGGGTGGGAGTGGGTCAGCCTTTCCAGATAGCGAACCTTGAAAATTCCTTTCAGCATTTTACTTTGCCCATTTTTAAGAAACTCGGAGGAAGGCTGAGTGTTTTCAGAGGGGGTTTCCTATCTAGGACCAGTGAGGGAGCCATCACTAGTTTAGCTTTAGGAAGGAAAATCTACCATCCCTTCCACCAGAACCCCCAGGGTGCTCCTGAACTTGGAGCCTTTGAATTAAGCTACACTTGTCACATTGTAGGGGGTCTTCCTATAAGATATAAAGGACTGTCCTTGCACCTTCTTTTCTCCAGTAAGCGGCTGGATTATGTGAATCATGCCAGACGACTGGCTGAAGATGACTGGACAGGGATGGAGAGTGAGGAAGAAGAAGATAAGAAAGATGATGAAGAGATGGACATTGACACTGGCAAGAAGTTACCAAAACGCTATGCTAATCAAGTGAGTAGTCCAGAGAAGGGGAGGCCAGGTCAAATCCCACTGAAGGAGATGCTGCCATAAAGAGAGAAGGAAGAGGGGGCACCTGGGTGGCTCAGTGGGCTGAGCATCTGACTTCAGCTCAGGTCATGATCTTGAGGTTGTGAGTTCAAGCCCTACATCGGGCTCTCTGCTGTCAGCACGGAGTCTGCTTCAGATCCTCGGTTTCCCTCTCTCTGCACCTCCCCCACTGGTTCTCTCTCTCTCTTTCTTTCTCTCTCAAAAATAAAATAAACATTAAAAAAAGAGAGAGGAGGAGGAGACAGGAATGGGGACAGCAAAGAAGCTGCCGCTGTGCGTGAAGCGTGTGGACTGAGAAGAGAGATGGCTTCCAGTGCCGTGTGCTGCCTGGGGGTCACTGAGGGAGGCTGTGGCTGGTGGGTTTGAGAACATTTACGCCATACTATAACCAAAGGTCACTGGCCTGCTGCAGAAAACCACTGAGCTATTGATATACTACCAGATTGCACACACTTGTCATTTCTCAGTGGTCGCCATAGAGTGGTTCCGGATCGGGCCCTCCCAGCCCAGCCCTGCCCTCACCCTACCTCCGAGGTTGGTATCTTTCCCAAGGAGGGCACTATCATGCCAGGCTTGGATCTTCACATTCAGATGGTGCAAGGTGGGAGGTACAGCTGCTCTTGAATATGGGGAGCCCGCATGGCTGCCCCCCTGGCCAGCCAGGTGGCCTCCATAAAACAATGGCTGACGATAACAAACGTGATGGCATGGTCTGTAGGTTGCAGAAAGAAAGCAGTGTGGTTTGTGGAGCCATAGGAGAAGCAGGCATGGAAACTGTTCAGTGCTTCCGGCAGTCCGGGTGTTCCACAAGGCAGGGTATTGGTCCAAGTGGGACCGGGGTCTATATTCTTCTCTCCAGAACCCAAGTGTCTTGTCCCCTCAGAATCCTTTCTCACCTTTAGAATATGGTTCCTGGGCACACACACTCCCATCTTCTTTCTGTGCCCCAACTACAGCATAGATAGCATCTCCTGTGACAGAGTACAGTTCAGTTCTGCTCAGCAAGCACTGTTGAAGTCCCTGCTCTGTGCGGGAAGATAGACAAGGGCCAGAAATGGCCCCTATACTCCTGGAATAAGTGGAGATTATGGTTTTTGCTGTAAGAAAGTGAGATTGGCTTCCAACAGGGATGGAAGTAGGGTTGTGAAATTAGGAAAAGGTTAATGAGTGAGGAGGCAGCTTTGAAGCTTGAGTGGGACATTGATAGGCAGAGGGGCATTCCTGGCAGTAGGAACTGCCTGAGCAAGAGCCCTGAGGCGGTGTGTTGTAAGCAGCCTGCAGGCCAGTGAGGGAAGGGAAGGAATACAGTAGAAATAGGTGCAGCACCCCCACCTCTCAGGGCACCTGGCTGGCTCAGTCAGTAGAGCACACAACTCTTTTTTTTTTTTTTTTTTTTTTCAAATAGTTTATTGTCAAATTAGTTTCCACATAACACCCAGTGCTCATCCCCACAAGTGCCCTCCTCCATGCCCATCCCTCCTCCCCCCCACATCCATCAGTCCTCAGTTTTTGTCAGCATTCAAGAGTCTCTCATGGTTTGCCTCTCTCCCTTTCCCCCACCATTTCCCCCCTTCTTCTCCCGGTTGGTCCTCTGTTAAGTTCCTCCTAGTCCTCCTATACGTGCACACATATGATATTTGTCCTTCTCTGCCTGACTTATTTCGCTCAGCATAACACCCTCAAGGTCCATCCATGTTGCTACACATGGCCAGATTTCATTGTTTCTCATTGCCATGTAGTATTCCATGGTATAGATAAACCACATCTTCTTGATCCATTCATCTGTTGATGGACACTTAGGCTCTTTCCATGTTTTAGCTATTGTGGAGAGAGCGCACACAACTCTTGATCTCAGGATTATGGGTTTGAGCTCCACATTAGGTATAGAGATTACACCTTCAGAAAAGGTTATATCCTTTAAAAAATGACTCATTCTGAAAAGTGCAAAAGCCCTGACCTGGGGGGGCACCTAGGTGGCTCAGTCTATTGAGCTTTGGACTCTTGATTTCGGCCCAAGTCATGATCTCACATTTTATGAGTTCAAGCCCCATGTCCAGCTCTGTGCTGACAGCAAGGAGCCTGCTTGGGATTCTTTCTCTCTCTCGCAAAATAAATAAACATTTAAAAACTAAGAAATATGTGCAAGAATTTAGACTGTTTTTTATTTACTTACTTATTTTAAGGTTTTTGTTTGTTTTGTTTTGAGAGAGAGAGCACGAGCAGGGGAGGGGCAGAGAGAGCCTGGAAGAGAGCGGATCTCAAGCAAGCTCTACACTGTTAGCACAGAGCCCTGCTTGGGGTTCAGACTCATGACCCATGAGATCATGACCTGAGCCAAAATTGGGAGTTGGGTGCTTAACTGACTGAGCCAGGTACCCCTAGACTGTGGTTTAGATTTTGGGGAACCACTGACAGAGTTGAGACTTTGTATATGACATGCCTGTCAGTGTATATAAAAGGACCTGGAAGAGAGAGACTGTATTAGGGAGCTTAGCTTTGCCAAAACAATCTGATGATGGGTGCTGAGGGCAGCGAAGGTGTAAAGAAAAGAGGTCATGAGTATGAAAAATGTTGTCAGGTTGAACGGATGGAATTTAACAATGGGTTGGATAAAATAGGCAGTATGAGAAGTGGTTAAAGGTTTAAGCTCTGAAGTCACATTGACCTGACCTCAAAGCCAGGCCCTTTGTTAACTTTAAGCAAGTTACTTACCCTCTCTAAATCTCTGGTTTCTTATCTGTAGATGGGGACAGTTACGGTACTATCTGACGGGATTTTTAGAAGGATTAAATGAGAGAGTATACCCTAAATACTTAGCCAGGAGCCCCACAAGTATTAGGTACGATTTTTTTTTTTTTAATATTTTTTTATTCATTTCTAGGAGAGAGAGAGACAGCGTGAGCAGGGGAGGGTCAGAGAGAGAGGGAGACACAGAATCTGAAGCAGGCTCCAGGCTCTGAGCTGGCAGTCAGCACAGAGCCCGACGCGGGGCTCGAACCCACGAACCGTGAGATCATGACCTAAGTGAAAGTCGGACGCTTAACAAACTAAGCCATCCAGGTGCCCCAAGGTACGATTTTTTTAAACAGGCATGTTGAGATAAATTCACACACCATACAATTCACACATTTACAAGGTTTTTACACATTCAGTGGTTTTTAGTATATTCACAGACTGTGCAACTGTTACCACTAATTCCAGAACATTTCATCACCCCAAAAAGGACCCTAATACCCATCAGCAGTCAGTTCCCATCCTTCCTTTCCCCCAGCCCTTAGCAATCAGTAATCTATTTTCTCTATGGGTTTGCCTCTTCTAGACCTTTCTTACAATCATACAAGATGTACCTTTGTGTCTGGTTTTCTTCACTTAGCATAAGGTTTTCAAGGTTCATCTGTGTTAGAGCATGTGTTGGAACTTCATTTCTTTTTATTGCCAAATAATGTTCTATTGGGGCACCTGGATGGCTCAGTCAGTTAAGCCAACTTTGGCTCAAGTCTGATTTTGCGGTTCATGAGTTCAAGCCCCATGTCGGGCTCTGTGCTGACAGCTCAGAGCCTGGAGTCTGCTTCAGATTCTGTGTCTCCCTCTCTCTGTGCTCCTCTCCCACTTGTGCTCTCTCTCTCTCCCTCCCTCCCTGCCTCCCTCCTTCAAAAATAATAAACATTAAAAAGTCTATCCTCTTGTATAGATATATGCTACATTTTGTTTATCCGTTTATCAGTTGGTGACTGCTTAAGTTTTTTCCCTTTTTGGCTATTGTGAATAATGCTTCTGTGACCTTTCGCAAACACGTTTCTGTGTGGACGTGTTTGCATTTCTCTTGGGTATATACCTGGAAATGAAATTACTAGGTCACGTGGTAACTCCGTGTTTTACATTTTGAAGAACTGTCAGGCTGTTTTCCAAAGTGACTACAGCACTTTACATCCCCACCAGCGGTGTGTGACGGCTCCAGGGTCTCCACACCTTTGCCAGTGCTTGTCTTTGTCCATCCATGTGAGGATGGCCATCCTAGTGGGTGTGAAGTTGTGTCTCATGGTTTTGATTTGCATTTCCCTGATAACTAACGGTATCAACCATCTTTTTCACATGCTTAGTAACAATTTGTATATCTTTGGAGAAATATCTATGCCCCTTTTCAATTGGGCTGTCTTTTATCATTAAGTTGTAAGAGTTCTTTATGCATTCTAGATACAAGTCTCTTATCAGGTACATCATTTCCAATATTTTCTCCCATTCTGTGGGTTATCTTTTTCCTTTGTTTTTGGTATCAATGGTGGCACTAAACTTTTAAATTTTGGTGTAGTCTTACTTACGTCTCCTGTGTTTCATCACTTGTGCTTTTGGTGTCGTAGCAGTACCATTCTTGAAGGAAGTGTTGATTACGCCTTGGCTTAAGATTTGGTAACAAGTGGTGTTGCTATTAACAGGGATACAGGATGCAGAAAGGGAAAGGGGAGTTTCAGGGATGGAAGGTACTTAGGCGACCAAAGGCAGTGAATCCTGTGTTGGGTACATTGAGTTTAAGGTACAGAGAGAGCAAGCAAAGAAACAAATACCACGTGGACAGCTGCAAATACAGGTCTGGAGGAAAGGAAGGCAGTCTGGAAATGAGAAAGAAGGGGAATTAGGGTGCCCGGCTGGCTCAGTTGGTGGAATATGCGACTCTCGATCTGACAGTCATGAGTTAGAGCCCCTCTTTGGGTGTAGAGCTTACATAAGAAAAAAGGAAAGGAAGGAGAATTAGAAGGTGTCCTTTCAGAAGTGGCAGGTAAGGCTGCAAATATAATGCGGTCCAGCCCCAAGGGGAGCATCTAAGAGAAAAGAAGGGGAACCTAAAACAGCCTCCTGAAGACTCTGTACATTGTTTTGGCAGAGTGTTTGGAGGGATGTTTGGAGGGAAAAAAAGAGAATAGCACTGTGTCACAGGGCTAAGGGAACACATGTCAAGGAGGACGAGGAGGTGGTGACAAGCAGCCTAGGGGAGTGGAGCCTAGAGCCAGGAGGATAAGGGGAGGGGAGGGAAGAGAGAGAGGAGGTCACTGATGGCTGTTGGCAGGGCTGCGGGGGTAGCAAATCTGGACTGAGGGTGTTAGAGTGGGCAGGAGGGCAGCATCAAGAAATATGAAGTTGTCGGGGCGCCTGGGTGGCTCAGTCAGTTAAGCAAGCGTCTGACCCTTGATTTCAGCTCAGGTCATGATCTTGTGGTTCATGAGTTTGACCTCTGACTCGGGCTCTGCAATGACAGTGCAGAGCCTGCTTAGGGTTCTCTCTCCCTCCACCCCTTCCCCATTCACCCTTTCTCTCTCCCAAAATAAATAAATGAACCATTATAAAAGAAAAGAAATATGAAGTTGTTTTAAAAAGGAGAAAGTGAAATCGTTTAACAGAAATGCAGAGTGATAAAAGGTTTTCATTATTGTTTTGTTTTTTATGATTAGGGCTTGAGCATTTTGTGGGCCAAGGGGAAGGAGAGATGAGAGAGTCCGTGGAAGGGATTGGTTGATAGGCCAGTCTGTGTAGATGGGAGGGATCGTGAGCCATGAGTAGAAGGCTTAATCTTTGCAGATTCATTTTGCCACTCCTCCCTTTTTTGAGGCAGATTTTTTTGTACAGTATTTGGGGTCACAAGTTCAGGAAATGGTCTAGATTAAGATCATCTCAAGGTCAGGGACCTTATTCATCTCTGAGGTTATAGTCCCTGGAACTTAATAGTTATGAGGATGGCAGGTAGATGGACAGAGTAAGATGAGGAAGAGGGTCCCATCACCCAGACACAGGAGGCGAGGTAGTAAGAATTATGGATGCAGGAAACGAGGATGAAGAGAGAAGTTGAAGTTCACAGTGAAGTTCACGCAGCCTCCATCGAGTCAGTGTCAGTTGAGACAGTCGACTAAGAGCAATTGGGTACAGGTCCACTGTCAGCCTTACGTGTATTTTCATCTTATATATATAGCATGTGAATTTTTGTTGGTGCAAATATTGCATCAGCACACCGATGCTGATTTTTCTTTTCAATATTTTATTTTTTAAATAATCTCCACCCGGGACACCTGGGTGGCTCAGTCGGTTAAGCGGCCGACTTCGGCTCAAGTCATGATCTCACAGTTCGTAGGTTCAAGCCCCACGTCAGGCTCTGTATTGACCCCTAGCTCAGAGCCTGGAGCCTCCTTCGGATTCTGTGTCTCCCTCTCTCTCTGGCCCTCCCCCACTCACACTCTGTGTGTGTGTGTGTCTCTCTCTCAAAAAACTGAATAAACATTAAAAAAAATTTTAAATAATCTCCACCTGCCGTGGGACTCAAACTCCCAACTCTGAGATCAAGAGTCGCATATTCCACCAACTGAGGCAGCCACGCACCCCACCCCTGTTGATTTTTAATGCCATTTTTTGGTGTTCCCAGTTGATGCTGTCTGAGTGGTTGATTGACGTCCCTTCAGATCTGGGCCAGGAGTGGATCGTGGTCGTGTGCCCTGTTGGGAAAAGAGCCCTGATCGTGGCCTCCAGGGTGAGTAGCTGCCTCCTCCCTATGCCAGCGTGCCTAGGCTGTAGCGGGGGGGCCGGGCGGGGGGTGGAATTCTCTGCGCTTCATGTTCCTCATCTGCGCCTGGCCTGGGGATTGAAATGCTTTCCTGCAGGAGGGGTTTGTTGAGAGCCATCTTTGCGCTGATGAGACCCCCGTGGATTGTGTGGCAAGAGGGTGAGGAGACCTTGATGCCTAATGGGAGTGGTAACTCTCCACACAGGGCTCTACCAGTGCCTACACCAAGAGTGGCTACTGCGTCAACAGGTTTTCTTCCCTTCTGCCCGGAGGCAACAGGCGAAACTCAGTGACAGCAAAAGGTACCTACATAAAATTGTCTATTTATTAAGTTAAAAAAAAATTTTTTTTAGAAATATAGACTTTTTAAAGTAATCTCTACGTCCAACAGGGGTTCAACTCATGACCCCAAGATCAAAAGTCGCATGCTCTACCAACTGAGCCAGTCAGGTGCCCCTGTTTATTAAGTTTTATAATTCGTAAAAGACAGTAGAAGTTCTTGGATTAGGTATTTTACTTTATTTCTTTTTAATTTTTTTTATGTCTTTATTTTGAGAGAGAAAGAGAGCGAGGAGGGGAGGGGCAGAGAGACACAGAATCTGAAGCAGGCTCCAAGCTCTGAGCTGTCAGCACAGAACCCAGTGCGGGTCTCACACCCACAGACTGTGAGATCATGACCTGAGCCGAAGTCGGATGCTCAACCGACTGAGCCATCCAGACACCCTGGTTATGTATTTTAAAGACTCACTCTTTTTTAAAAAAAATTTTTTTATATTTTATTTATTTTTGAGAGTGAGAGTGTGAGCAGGAGTAAGGAAGGGAGGGGGGTGGAACAGAAGATCTAAAGCGGGCTCTCTACACTGAGAGCAGCAAGCCTGATGTGGGGCTTGAACTCACAAACTGTGAGATCATGACCTGAGCCAATGTCAGGCACTCAACCCACTGAGCCACCCAGGCACCCCCTAAAGACTCACTTTGAAAGCATGCCTTTGAAACTGTACATCTGGATTCAGACTATCTTCTTCAGGGTCAAACAAGTTCTGTCCACTGGATTGAGGCCTACTGGGCAACAAATCCCTGAACTGAAGTCAACACATCTTTCCCACAGGCCTCCATTACAAGGTGACCTGTGCAGTTTGGGGGGAAAAGTTTCCTCACAATGCTGAGTATAAATAAAGTATCATAAGCTGTTGCTGGGGCTTCCTGCCAAATTCCCTTTTCTCTTGTATTTTCTCATGTATCATTGTCCAAACCTTAGCCTGTCCCTCTAACCTGGGCTCAGTCAAGGAGACTGAGATCATGGAGGTTAAATAAGTTGCTCATTGTCATTCATGGAGAAGTTGGCAGAGCTGGGCCTGAACGCTGGTCTCTTCTCTGCCTGCTCAGGCTCCCTTGGTGGTTCCTTGTGTGCTCGGCACTGAGCCTAGACTTTTCTATAGGCTGTCAGAGCCCTTCACATATGAGCTTCGGCTCACCCAACCTCGTGTCTTTCCCCTACTCACTATACTCACTCCTAGCCTTGTTCAGCTACTTGCCTCCCTGCTCCCCACATGTGACCAGTTCATTTCACCTATACACCTTTGCTCATGCCGCATCAGTATTCCGGTCTGAAATGCCCTCCCACCTCCCCTCTGCCCTATTGTTTTAATCCTCTGATCCCAGAAGACTGTGTTCGTGTACCATCTCTTCCATGCAGCATCTCCTGCTGCTCCAGTCTTGCTCTTCTGGACTTCCTGTTGCTCCTAGGTTGTGTTATACAGTTCAGCTCTTGGTTCTCTCTATGATCATCTTATCTTATCCTTTACTGGATTGTGAGGTCCTTAGTATACGTGCTGCCGAAGCAAGCACTGGACTGTAAGGTCCTTAAAGGCAAGAGTTACTTATAGGTAATATTCCCCACAGAACATAGTACCTATGATAGGAACTCAAAAGGGCATGTAAATTCAGATGGAAGATTACTTACCTTTTGGACTGGCGCTTTTCTAAGGTGAGTAAATGTTCCAGTTTATCTAAAAGTTCAGAATAGGGGTGCCTGCGTGGTTCAGTCAGTTAAGTGTCCAATCTCAGATCATGATCTCGCAGTTCGTGAGTTCAAGCCCTGCATCAGGCTCTGTGCTGACAGCTCAGAGCCTGGAGCCTGCTTCAGATTCTGTGTCTCCCTCTCTCTGCCCCTCCCCCACCCTCTCAAAATAAATAAACATTAAAGTAAATAGACAAATGAAATAAAAGTTCAGAATTTCCACCTGGCTTAAGGGTTGCCTTGATCCCGCTCATGCTGTCCTACCTTGAGTTGCCCTTAAGCTGCACAGGGAGCAACAAAGGGCCATGAGGGGGCACCTGTGTGGCTCAGTTGGTGAAGCATCAGACTTCAGCTCAGTTTGTGATCTTGTGGTTTGTGAGTTCAAGCACTGACGGTACAGAGCCTGTTTGGGAATCTCTCTTTCTCCCTTGCTCTCTGCCCCTCCCCCAAATGCATTCCCCACCTCCCTCAAAATAAAATAAAATTAAAAAAAAAAAAAAAAAAGGAAGGGCCATGAAGAACTTTCTCCCTAAGGAACTCTGCTTAGAAGGGGGAACCCCATCCTGACTTTCTGCTCTGTGTCCCCAGACTACACCATTCTGGACTGCATTTACAGTGAGGTGAACCAGACCTACTATGTTCTGGATGTGATGTGCTGGCGGGGACACCCTTTTTATGACTGCCAGGTAAGGATCGGTAGTCTCCTCATGTCTTCTCCTATTTTCTCCTCTCCTCCTGGGAAAGTGGCCCAGCATGTGGGTTTGGTACGTGACCAGCTTCTTGGTATGCACAGGATGTGGTATATCAAGAACATTATCTAATGTTCCTTGCCTCTCTGAGGGTGTTTAAATTAGCTTTGTTTTAAAAAAAGAAGGAGGAGGAACTAAGGGAAGTACAGCAAATCTTGAGGGGAAGAAAGAGAGAAACGGGGTGGAGGGGCAGGCCAGGACCCTAGGAGCTGCAGCCACCCCCTCCCTCTCTCCGGAGTGTGGGAGGACTGCTGGGGGTGGGGGGAGCCGGGGGCAGCGGGGACGGCGCCCGTGCAGGCGGCACAAGGAAGAGAAGGTGGGATGAAGTCACCATCCAATAGTCTCTGGCCACCTCTCCTGCTTCACAGCCACATCCTGTCCCTGAAAACAGCAACACCTCCCTGGTTCAACCCAAAGCCCCGAATCTCTGAGGGGCTAGCTCTGGAAGGAGACTTTCCAAGTGAGGAGGAGCTCCGGTATTCTCCCCTCAAGGGTCACCTTCCCCCAGTGTTTTTCTAGATTGGCGATTCCTAGGAGGGACAGTAGCAGTTACTGGAGTAAGGCAAGGTCGGCCTCTTGGACTCTGTCTCTGCTCCCAACACTGCCTCGTCATCGTCCCAATTTTAAAGCGAGGTTTTGTTGTGCTCCCTGCCAATTAGTGTATCGTAGTAGTTCTCAGTGTGGTTAGAAATGCAAGCTCCCAGACCTACTGAATCAGGAGCCCTCGGGTCAACTGGTGCTTTCACAAGCCTCCAGGCGGTCCTAGGCAGGCCCAAGGCTCAATCATGGGTGGTCACCGTAGGCTACCTCTTTCCATAGCCATTAGCCAAAGCATGATTTCCCAGAGCATGCTGCTGAAATCGTAATAACAGCCAAGGCTTACACTGCTGAGCACTTTGTGAGCATTATCTCACTGAAGCCCTTACAAGAACTCTGTAAGATGAGTACCGTTGTCATTCCTCATCGTCCAGGAATGGATGGGAGCTGAGAGCCAGAGACGGTAGGTGCCTTGTTCAAGTGCAGAGCCACACCTGAAACTCAGATCTCATAAATTCAACCTAGAGCATGTTTTCCTTTAATTCTGTTGAAGGATGTTTCCTCACATGTATTCACAACTTAAAAATCTGGTAACTGAAACTACCTATGTTTCTATAATATATAGCAAAGACTGTTGTTTTATTTTAATTTTTAAAAGCAAAATGAGGGGCGCCTGGGTGGCTTAGTCGGTTAAGCGTCCGACTTTTGCTTAGGTCATGATCTCACGGTTCGTGGGTTCGAGCCCCGCGTCGGTCTCTGTGCGGACTGCCAGCTCGGAGCCTGGAGCCTATTTCAGAGTCTGTGTCTCCCTCTCTCTCTGACCCTCCCCTGCGCACGCTGTCTCTCTCTCTCTCTCTCTCTCTCTCCTAGAAATAAATTAAAAAATATTAAAAAAATAAATAAAAAATAAAAGCAAAATGATGGACAAGAAACAAAAGATACTCAATAGCTACAGAAGGGTACATATCAGTAGTGCAGAGAATAAAGTTTTTTATGAGAAGTTACAACTATATAGCAGTTTCTAACCCTCAGAATTAAAGTAAAACAAAGGCTAACATAATATGTTTTGGAGTTTGAGTCCTGGGTCCCATGGTATTTTCTGTGGGCAAATGATAAAATCCCTCTGAGCCTCAGAGTGCTCGCCTATAAAATGGAGATGATGGTAATCCAGCTCTCAGAGGGCAGTTGAGGACTAATCAGGGTGTATGAAGTCCTTAGTATGGGGCCTCCAACATAATAGGCCTTCAGTGATCAGTGTTGGCTCTACTACTATTATGGGGCATCTGGGTGGCTCAGTCAGTTAAGCATCTGACTTCCGCTCAAGTCATGATCTCATGGCTTGTGAGTTCGAGCCCCGTGTTAGGCTTTGTGCTGACAGCTCAGAGCCTGGAGCCTGCTTCGGATTCTGTGTCTCCCTCTCTCTCTCTGCCCCTCCTCTGCTCTCTCTCTCTGTCTCTCAAAAACAAATAATTAAAAAAGATTCATTAAAAAATCCTGTTGGATTTTAAGAAAAAAAATCCCCAGAGATTATATATAAATATCTTTCTGACCTTACGGCACTGTTTGAAGAGACATGAGAGCGATGCTGGAAGAACTTAGATCTTCATAAATTACATGGCTCTTTAGGACAGAGAATTTTTGTTCATATCATCATTCAAAATGAGCAGCATTTCATCTTTCTGCGTCCCTTCTCTGTGGCAGACCGATTTCCGATTCTACTGGATGCATTCGAAGTTACCAGAAGAAGGACTGGGAGAGAAAACCAAGCTCAATCCCGTAAGGCCTGATGTTAGAATGGGAGGATTCTCTATGTGGACTGCTTTGGATTGGTCTGTTATCTAAACATAATCATTATGCACAAACTTATCTTTTTAATTTTGAGGCAGCATGGCATAATGGGAAGGGTGTGGGCTTAACAGCCCTCCAGATCTGAACCAGATCTGGATTTGGTTTCACGATTACTAAAGTTAACTAGCAATTAACTAAAGTTAATAACCTCATTTGGCCTTAGTTTCTTCATCTGTGTAATAGGGTTAATAACACCTACTTTACAGGGTTCTTCCAAGAACCAAGTGATACAAATGTGCAAGTTCTCCTAACATGATACTTAATAGTATGCGCTTAATAGATAGTGATTGTATAAAGTGCTAAGTATTTTATAATTCTTAATAATGCTATCTAGAATTCCAGTTCTCAAACTGTAAGTGCATCAGCAGTGTCTGAAGGCCTGGTGAAACGAAGATACCTGGACCCTCCTCACCCGTGTTTGTGATTCAGTAGGGCTAGGGTGAAGCCTGTATTTCCAGCAAGTGATGCTGGCACTCCTGGTCCATGGACCACACTTTGAGAACCTCTGCTCGTGTATGTGAGTGGAGACTGACCTCACCTAGTCAGCTGACTCCTTTTATAGATGAGAATATAGGCTCAGAGTGGGACTACCTTCCCCAGCAACCCACAGTCCAGGAAAGGCCAAGTGCCTTTGCTATCCACTCTGATTAAATAGACGACAGCTATTTTCAGGGCATTTTATGAGCAAACACCTGTAGATTGGCATTTGATTGTATTGCGTGCAACACTCTTAAAAGCAATCGGATAACCAGTTACAGGACAATAAATGGGGTCAATATCTAGTGATGTTATCAGGAAGGTTCTGGAAAAACACTCATTGAGGAAGGGGACCATGGGAGCTGCTCTCCCTGAATGTTCTAAGCACTCTCCGTGTATTATCTCATTGAACCTGTGCAACAACCCCATGAGGTAGATACTTTCATTATCCTATTTTATAGAGGGGAAAGCAGAGGCATATAGAGATGAAATGATTGGCAGAGTGGGGGGTCAAACCCAAGCAATCTGACATATTAGAGTTTTAGTCCTAATCACTTTATTATACTGCTCAGTCTAAAAACCCCTGCTGATGTAAAAGGGGGTTCACTAGCCCTTCTGTAGGACTGTCATATGGCTGCAAGAATAACATACAGTCCCTGAACCTAGCCCAGGACACTGGTTCTCAGTCCAGTCCTGGGTGTGTGTGAAAATCAACTGGACAGCTTTAAAAAAAAAAAAAAAAAAGTGCCTGGGACCCATCGCAGGCCAATTCAGCCAAAATCTCTGTGTGAGGCCCGGGCCTCAGCAATTTTTTAAGAGCTCCCCTGACGATTCTTGTGGATAAAGTAAGGTTGAGAACCACCAACCCAGTAATTCAGAGGGGGTGAAGGATGGGGGAGGGAGGGAAGGATGAGACTGAACTTTTTTTTGATACAGTTGCTAGAACCAATATGATTTGTAACATGTACTAATTCTTTGTTCTAATTTATATTTTAGTTTAAATTTGTAGGACTAAAGAATTTCCCTTGTACCCCTGAGAGCTTGTGTCAGGTGCTGTCAATGGATTTCCCTTTTGAGGTAACACAACCATTGTCTTTGTTGCTCTGATGTGATTGCAGGACACAGGGAAGCTCAGTTACCCAGAGTCGTTAGGATATCCTCCAACTTTGCTGGGCCAGAGCATCAGAAAAGGGCCGAAAGCTGATTCCCGGAAAAGGAGGTGCTGCTGCCCTTCAGAGCCTCAGCTCCACTCCATTAGAAAAGTCAGAATGCCAAAGCTGGAGGGGCCCCACTCATATATGTCCCTCATTTTACTGGCGGAGAGGCGGGGGCCCAGGGAAGGATAAGGCTTCCATTCTTAGGTCCTTCTGGGGTGCCTGTTTTCTGTTACAAGCCTGCCTGCCATGGCTGACTGTAAAGTTGGGGACTCCTGTGACTAACAGACCACAGAGGTTCAGACTCCTTGTCCTTCCTTCCTTCCAAGAGCAAATGATGCCTGGGGAGGGCTGTGCTTGCTGAGCAGTGGCATGGAGGCAGGGTGACTGACTTGTCCTGGTTTGTCCAGAACTTTCCTGATTTAGCACCGAAAGTCTCATATCCCTAGAAGCTCCTCAGTTCCCAGTGGCCTTCTGTCATCCTCAGAACCTACCGTTATCCTCTCTAGGCTCAACACATGGACTTTCCCCTGCCCATTGTACCTTTTAAAATTCTGCCTAGTCACGCACAAGTATTTGCTTGAACTTGATATAATTTTGTTAAAAGGATCACAGCTTCCCAAATGAGGAAATGGCAAAGGCTGGGTTGCCTTCAATTCTGAGAGTCAATTAAGAAGGTGGTAAGAACACCATCTTTATTTATAACCCTATGCCCCAGTGACAATAAATGCTTTTTAGAGATGAGTCACTGAATCACGAAAAGAAAATGTGGGACTGTAGGAGGTCTTCCCGTTGAGAAAAACTTGAGTTTCCCAGAACATAGCTTGCAGATAATTTAGGGGAGGTCAGGCAGCCAACGGTGGCGTGGGGAACAGGACTACTCAACATCCTGTGTTCCCTGCGTTCAGCAGTCCAGCATCTCGGAGGGGCCTGTCCCATTCCCCTGCCTGTGCCCTTTGTGGCGCACATTTCCCATTACAGAGACGTCCGAGTGCTGAAAAGCTCATGGGACCCGGGGACAGAAGACCCGGGTTCGCATTGAGTTTCTGCTTTATACTGCCTGGGTTTTGGGGGGAGGCCCCCAGAGCTAGCCCTAGCCCCTTTTCTCAAACACCCTCAATGGTGGGTAAAAGGGTGAAGTAGTGGGTAGGCAAGCACCCGGTAAACAGGAAAGTGCCATTTATATTTTTATTTTCAAAAATTTAGATTTCTAGGCCATTTCTTCACTTAGAGGATTTGTGAGTGTGAGAAACGAGGATTCTTTTTCTACTGGCAGCGATCCAGGAAAGGGAGTTGGCCCGCTGGAGCGGCCCCCATGTGCACAGGCTCTCCTGGAAACACATGGCCCCAGGAGTCACTTTGGTTTCCCCTTTTGTAGGTAGACGGACTTCTCTTCTACCACAAGCAGACCCACTATAGCCCTGGAAGCACTCCTCTTGTGGGCTGGCTGCGCCCCTACATGGTGTCAGATGTTCTCGGGGTGGCTGTGCCAGCTGGCCCTCTGACCACCAAGCCGGAATATGCTGGGCAGCAGCTCCAGCAGATTATCGAGCACAAGAGGAGGGGCCAGGAAGGCACAGAGAAAGTCACACACAAGGCCTCTGAGAATGGGCGCTATGAGCTGGAACACCTGTCTACCCCCAAGCCGAAGAGCCCTCCTGACCGCCTGGACCCCCCTGGGAGCCTCATGGAGAACTAAACAAAGTGGCTCCTTGGGGAGTCAGTCACAGGACTTTGCTTGCTGGGGAGGAGGACAGCGGCAACAACAGGTGACTTCATTTTAGAGTGGACTTTCCAAAGCGACTCCAGCTGGAAACAGCTTATCTCCTATCTGAAATGCTGGCTCAGGCAGTTGAGGGAGGTTTCCAGATTGGATGGGTTTGGGTTTGGGGATTTGAGAAGTCACTCCCATGAAAAGTGTGTCCCAGATATCTACAATGTAAATACATGTAATTCTTTAAGAAAGAAGTTGTTTGTGATTCTTAAAAACTTTAGGTGGTCATGATCCACCCCCACCCCCGTACCCCAGGCCACCTAAACCATGACTGCTCAAGTCTTGGCCCATTGCACTGTTTTTAGCACTTAAGCATTCTGCTGACTTTCCAGTTGCTGCTGTTAGTAACGTCATTTTCTAAAAGGTCTTACCAGGAACTGCAGTTCTTGGTATTTGAATATGTTCCCTCTTCTGAGAAGTGTGAGTTTCTTTGGTTTAGACACTGCCCGAGATAAAATGCAAATAGAGTTCATTCACAACTTCAACAAACAGTCGTGTCTTCCAGAAGATAAGTCTTGTGCTAGGCCCCCTTGATGTAGAGAGGTCATGTAGACAGGACTCGGTCCCTGCCCTTGAGGAGTTCACAGTCCAGTGAAGAAAGACACCCACCAGCAGGATGCTGAGACGGTTGCTTTAGGTCTGAAAGATGCAGAAAGCTTGGGACAGGAAGGCAGAGGAAGTTCCTTAGGGGAGGTTGGGGCGGAACTGAGGCTCTGAGCAGGACAGAAGGGGCTCTGCAGCCAGGACAGTGGATGTTTCTCACACAGGCAGCAGGGTATGCTGTAGCACCCTCCAGAGGAGGGCAGGACTCCTTCTGGGACCTGAGGCAGGCTCAGCATGGCTCAAGTTTAAAGGAGGGTTGGGAGCTGCCCAGGAGGAGGCCGGAGAGAGAGATGGGCCTGTGTATTCTGCAGAGGTTTTATTTTTTTATTTTTATTTAAAACATTTTTTTAAATTATTTATTTATTTTTGAGAGACAGAGTGAGACAGCGTGAGCGGGGGAGGGGCAGAGAGAGAGAGAGAGAGAGAGAGAGAGAGAGAGAGAGAGAGATACAGAATCTGAAACAGGCTCCAGCCTCTGAGCAAGCGTTTAGCACAGAGCCCGATGCGGGCCTCGAACCCATGAACTGTGAGATCATGACCTGAGCCGAAGTTGGGCACCTAACCGACTGAGCCACCCAGATGCCCCTTCTGCAGAGGTTTTAGATTTTATGTCATGGAAGGGCTCTGAGCAGGCTAGATCCATTCAGATTTGTGAAGTCGGCTCTTTGGCAGTGGTGGCAGTGGAAGATAGTATCTAAAACTAACCAGTTCATTTCTGCTCTGTGTTCAGGAAACATGTCCCATTTCCTGTGGCCTCGATCTGCTCCTCACACTGCTCTCCATCCTTTTTAGGACTTCTTTTATTGGACAAAAAGACTTCACTATGCTAGTCCAGCAGCACTAGCATCCTGTGGACAAAATTTTGGAGGGATGCAGGTTAGATCTTGTCTGACTAGCGGTTGTTCCTTTGTGTTGACTAATTCTGGGAACCCATCTGGGCAGAGGCTGTGGTTCAGTAGAGCCCGATTACACACATTCATCACACCAGTAGAACTAGCCCCAGTGCTGGGCTCTTACAGAGCTGCTCAAGCTGACTCTGTAAAATCGGAGAAGGAAGACAACACTTCCCCCCTGCCCCCCATAATGATCCTGCTGGCCGCGGATTGAAGCGTGCCCACATCAGTAAGCTCTTTTCTGAATTTGGGTCAATTCTGCAATAGGAACACTGTGTTCCTCTTGCCAAGAAGCATGTTGTCGGCTGCCTAGATGCTACGTGATCTTCCAAAGGAAGTCTCTTCGTTTGTGCTCTCAGCAGGCCAACTATGTCATTTCAGGAACTGTGCATACTAGTGAGCGTCAGAGACACTTGGCCGGGCTCTGCTCAGAAATAAGCAGTCTGGAGGGACTGCTTCCTCAGAGGACACTCTGGGAGACAGAACACACCAACCAAATGTATCACCGTGCACAACTTGGTATTGTTGAATGACAGATCGAAGGCTTTATCTTAGAGGAGTGTCCCTTCTATTTTTAACCAAGAGCCAATATTATTAATCACTGAATACAATGTGTTTTCTGGTCATATGAGTTATAAAACCACCCCCTGTTACCTGTTTCAAAGATGGTTGTTGAATAAGTTGTCATGACTGGATATGAGTTTTCTGGCCACCCTTCCAAACACCAACCAGTTTCCTTTTTGTGGAATTATCTCTCCCCCAAGCAGTGTGGTCTGGTAGGACTGTATTCTCTGGGAACTGCCCTCCTTTAGCCAAACGTCACGCTCATGACTCAAGATGGGCCAATCACATACTCCTCACCAAGAATCTGTATCTTAAGCAGAGGACCAAAGAGAGTGAACCCATTGGAATTCATTTATTTTGTCCTCAGAAAGGCAGCGGGTATTCCTTGTTCTTGCTATGAAACCTATGAGCATCCTGTAAATTCCATCTTGCTTAAACAAGCCAGAGCTGATTTCTGGGCTTACAACCAAAGAATCCTCTCTGATACCATTGGCCAGTATGGACTACCCTGCTTGCCTTGGCTGGAGGGCCAATGTGTCACGAGTTAAGAAAGGACCTTGTTGAGATCACCTGTTTCATCCCAAAAGCCACTTGAACCCATGCACCTAGAAAACAGTAGGCTGTTCAGCCAGTTGATGCAAAATAAATAGTCTTGGTTGTTTTAATGTTAACTTAGAAAGCCATGCTTCGTGCCTGCGTCAAAGAGTTGATGTCATCGTAACTCACTTTTGTTTGATAATAATTTGTCTACAAACACTGTTTCTTCAGTAGTTTACTTCGCACTCATGTTCGAAACCTGACTTCTGTTCCTACCACTTCTGAGTGCTCTCATCAAGGGACTGGTGGTCTCGTTTTCCACATGCAAAGGACATATCCCAGCCTTTCTCTTTCCTGACTTCAGCTGCCGGATGTGTGCTGATGCCCTCTCTGAGCTCCAGCCCTGTCCATGTATATCTAACTCCTTACCCATCAACCTCCCAGTCACCTCAAACTTGGCATAGCCCAAACCGAACTTATTATCTTTCCCCTGTAGTCCATCTCAGTCATGATCTCTTCTGCGATCCTTGTCTGTGTTAATAGCATTTAGTCACCCACGCTAGGAACCTAGGTATATTATATTCCTGTCCATTTCTTACCTTTCACAGCTAGTGAGTCACCAGGTCTTGTAAATTCTACTTCTCTCTTCTCCATTTCCTGTATGACCTAAGGCCTTAATTCAAGTCTTCATCATCCTGGAGTACTGCCAGAGTCCCTTACCTAGTTTTCCTGCCACCAGTCTTTCCCCCACTCTAACCCATCCCTGCTGCAACTGGCAGGGTGATCCTTTCTAAAAATGCATTACTTCAAGAATTTCCTGTTGCCTATAAGCTCTTCAACTTGCCATGCAAGTTTCTTCATGACCTGGCCTAAGCATATCTGTCCAGCTTCATAAATTACCTTCCTTCCTTTGCTGCCTCCTCCCCAGCGGTGCTGCTTTACAGTTCCTTGTACAAACGTGTTTCATACCACATACTTCCACCTCCATCACCATGTCCCTTCTCACTCTGATTCCATTCATCTGGTAAATATATCTTTGGAAAACTCCAATCAACAGATATCTCCTCTGCAGGTGGAATTAGCCATTCTCATCTTTGTGCCCTCCCCATCCCACTACATATTTAGGGATAGTCCTCTGTCTCTCCCACATATAAGGAGAGTCCTCAAGACCCCCCTTAGGTTTGATAATTCAACAGAAGAATTCACAGAACTCACTGAAAGATGTTATACTCACAGATAGAGTTTGTCACAGTGAAAGGAAACAGATTAGTTAGCCAAGGGGAGAAACGCATGGGGCAGAGTCCCAAAAATTCCTAGTAGGAGTCTTCCAGTTGTCCTCTCCCAGTGGAATCAGAGACAGCATTAACTTTCCTGGGTACTGTGCATGACTGTAGTCATGGAGTATGGCCAACCAGAGAATCTCGCCTGAGGCTTGATGTCCAAATTTTTTACTGGGACTTGGTCATATAGACCTGATGGGCTGACCCCAGTCTCTAGCCTCTCCAGAAGTCTAGCTGATAACACATGATCCAAAGTCTTCAATTCCCCTAATCACATCGCTAGACTGTCTGGTGTGGCCAAAGACCCCCAGGTAAACACGTTTTTTAGGATATTCCAAAGGCTTTAGAGCTTATTCTTAGGAGCCCAGGGCAAAGACTACCCTCTCTTTGAGGAAGGCTAAATTCCTTACTGTGAACTCCCTGTATTAGATTGCATGCCCTTTGAGGTCAGAGACCTGGTCTTATTCATCTTTAGCTTCCCAGTGCCTGGCATTGTGCCTGGCACTTGTATTAATTAGTATTGGTTGGGCGAATGAAATGATGAGCTGGAATGAGAAGGCAGTCTGAGGGACAGCCCCTCTCTTCTCTACTGCATAGAGTCATGACCCTGGAGAGGAGGCTGAGTAGAGGGGTGTGGTGGGCTGCTAATGGGTGGTTCAATACGCTGTAGAGTTCTAAGAATATGAACTATGGCTCTATGAATGTGCTTAAAAAGACAACCTGAAAACTTCCCAGGAGTGAAGCTATGGATTTCTTTTCTAGTAAGGAAATGAGTAAAAACCTCACAATACATATTTTTAAACAGATGTGGTCATCTGTGTTATGCCTTCTGATATGTAGAGCAGGAAAAGTAGAGGAAAGCCTTGAGATTTTGGCAACAGTAGGACTGCTTGCTTTGGTAAGAGACTCTGATTTCTGAGCTCCACTTTGTCTTAGAATTCTGTGATCTTACCCAGTCTTTACATCAGAAAAGAACCAAATTTAAGGGGTGCTTGCGTGGCCCAGTCGGTTAAACAACTGACTTCAGCTCAGGTCATGATCTCACAGTTCATGAGTTCGAGTCCCACATAAGGTTCTGTGCTGACACTTTGGAGCCAGGAGATGCCTCGAATTCTGTATCTCCCTCTTTGCCCCTCCCCTGCTCACACTTTGTCTCTCTCTCAAAAACAAACATTAAAATTTTTTTAATAAAACAAATGAGCCAAATTCATTTTAAAATGTTGTTTCCCACCAAGTCTTAAGAAGTTTGGTCTTGGGTCTTGATTTGATTGTGACTCACCCCTGGGCCCCCCTCCCCAGTGGGTACACGGCAAG